TAAGAGGATAGTGAATTCAAAGCCAGCCTCAGCTACTTAGTGAAGCCCTGTATCTACATTAAAAAAAAAAAAAGGCTGGGGATGTGGCTCAGTGATAAAGTGCCCCTGGGTTCAATCCTTAGTACAAAAAGAAAAAAAAAATCTCAGGTTGAAATTTCAAAAGATCCCCTAACAGGCTTAGGGGACTTCAGGAAAACTGAAATAAAATTCCCAGATTGCTTGGTGTTTCTATGTAAAGCAGAGAACATTCCGATTTGCCCCCTTATTGTAGCCTTCCTGGTTCCTAAAGGATTTAGACCTGTGCTTCTGCTTTCCGGTATCTCAAATTTCACTCTTTCCACTGTCGGTCTCTCTATTTGCTTCTTCCTCAATACCTTGAGTCATAAGACTAAGATTTCGGAGTTTGTGCTTTAGGAGAGGAGAAGAGACTCATAAATAAGACAGACTTGAAATAAGTGTCACTGAAGAGTTTCAAAGACAAAAAATAGTGCTGAGAAATATCAGAAAGGAACACTGGAATATTGGAGATGGTGTCGTATGGACCTATTCACGTGCACAAATTCTGTGATACTGGTAGGTTTTCTACTGGCAGAGGTGGAGTGAGGTCACCAAATACAAAACCAAAAAAACTATGCTCTGTTTCTCTACTTTGCAAATTGGGCCTCTGTAAGTTAGACCAAGTAGGGGAAAATAAATCTTAGCCCCATGATGGTTTAGCAGTCTAAGTCATCTGTTTCAAAATAGGACAGAAGTACAGCCATCTGGTAGTGATTTTCAAATCTAGACCCCTACAGAAGAAAGGGGTGAGAATTCATCAGATAGTCCATCTCTGATCCAGGGCACCAGGCTGCATTTCCCTCACCAGGGTGACACGGATGCTATGGAGCTTTGTGCTTTTATTTTTAATTTTGTTAGTAACCACAAGCCACACTGTTCCGGTATTTTGAATACAGCATTTATAAATTGAAAATAGAAGAAGGGTACAGAATGTGCAACATTTTCTGGTTCATTGTTCCATGTCCTTAAAAAACAGTTGAGAAGGGAAAATTCTACATTCTTCTAGGTGACGGCAATAATGGTATTCTCCCTGCAATTTACAATGAAGGGTAAAACTAAGCTCTTGAGCCACCTCTTCCGTCTCGTTCACCTCTGATTCCACATGGGGTGACCCCAACGTTCTCATCACTTTTAATTAAGATGTGAATAGGCAGCCGTGTGCTGTTCACCACCTATCACAAGCTGAATGTGTCCCCGCAGAAGATAAGTTGAAGTCCTAATGTTTGAATATGACTTTAAATGGAGATAGGCTTCTTTGGGGGAGTTAATCAAGTAAAGATGTGGTTGTTAAAATGGACTCCAATCCCATGAGGAGGCACAAGCAGAGAGGGAAGGCGGTGTGGAGATAGACACAGAGTCTGGACCCATGTGTCTACAAGCCAAGGATCACCCAAGATTTCTGGCCATCATCAGAAGCCAGAGAAAGGCCTGGATCAGGCTCTCCATCCCAAAGAACCAACGCTGCTGACATTCTGCTTTCAGACTTCTGGCCTCCAGACTGAGAAAGAATAAATATCCCTTGTCTAAAAGCCATCCAGTTTGCCATAGGTACTACATCATAACATCCCGAGGAAACAAATATATCACCTTCACGAAAACTGTCCCCCAAAGAATTCTGGGTGATATAAAAATCAAACAAAAACACTTAATCTGACAACCGCTATAAATATGAAAGATATTGTCCCATGAAAGATAGTAGGTGTCATGGGGCGGGGATAACACTTTTGATAGGAAAAGAGAAAGATTTATCATGGAGAAGTTTGGTTGTCTTCAGAAGGAGCTTAAGAGATGGTTTTATTCATAGTGGGCAAACAGTTTTTATTTTTATTTTTAAAGTATTCTTTAATGTGGGCCCATCTTTCCCGTCCATTTAGAGGTCATCTCCGGAGTATTAGAAGATAAAGATGCCACTCAAAGGAAGGATTCTAGGTCTCGAAAAGATTGGAGTGTACCCCTCAACTCTTGGCTCACATTTTGTTGTTATACGAGAAATCGATTTTAATTGCATTCAATCACTGAGATGTTCAATATAAACAGATGGGAGTACTGGGTTACAACAATTACCCTATTATCATTATTACCCTGTCCTAATAAATACTAATGCTCTAAAGCCTAAGCCCACTCCTAACTTAACTCAAACCAAACCAGAAGAATATGCAATGAAGATAACATGTAGCCTTCAAAAGTCAAAATATTCACTCTATGGCCTTTTTCAAAAAAAAGTTTGCCAACTCTTGGCCTAGGCCAGGGATTGATTGATTGGTTGTTTGATCGATTGATTGAGGGTTGATTGATTAAATTTATGGTGCTAGATCACAAAGCCTAGGGCCTTGTGCATGCTAAGCACACACCCTACGACTGAGCTACATCATCATCATCATCATCATCATCATCATCATCATCATTTAATGTGGAACATTTAATTTTGTAAAAAAAAAAGATATAAAATCAAATAGAAAAACAAAGCTGCTTTTCTAAGGAAGAAGATGCCATACTCTTGAGTTTCCCCACTTGACCAACTTAGTACCCCCTAACCTGGCAGAGCCCCAGGATTTCAGAATACTCATTACAGTGATATTGGCAACAACCAGTTGAGTACTTGCAGTGTTTCACAATAGTGCTAAGCATGTCCCATTCACTCTTGGATTTAATCTTTAAAATAATCATATGAGAGATGTACTATTTTTATCTCTATTTTTACATACAAGGGAACAAGAGCTAAGAGGAATTAAATAAAATTAAATAATATGGATCATAGCAGATACAGAGTTCATATAGATGTACCTCTGGCTCCTGCGTCCCTAACTATGTCATGTGAATCTACCAGGATGAAGGTGTTCTTATCTGATCTGCCTCTTCATTGAAGGTCCTATGGTTCAGAGAAGTGAGGAATATATCTAGTGCTACAGGCTTGTTGGTCATTGACTGGGTCTGGAATCCTGGTCTCCCAGCTTTGGATGTGATGCCCTTTCTTCAAGCCCACTTGGGTGCATCCTTCCTGGCTCACTGTGGGTTGAGAGGTGCATTGAACAGATTGGCTCTGGGGTCAAAAGGATGGGGTTGAGGTCCCTGCAGTCACATGCTCGTGTCCATCAGTTTGATAGGCTAGAGAATGAGATTTATGTAGCATGGAGATTGGTGGACCATTGTTTCTCCCTCAGTGTCCCAAGGTGGCCTCACTTGAGTTGTGCATGTTCTCTTCTCCCAACAGTTTGTCCTGGTCAACCAGACACAGTCCACACTGGCCTGACCACCCTTACTTAACTTTGTTTCTCCTCCTTCCCTTCCATCTTCTCTTTTGGGCCCTGGATCGGAATTATGGATCTGTCGTCCTGTTCAGACCTGCCTTGGCTGAGTTGGCCAGTTCCTTCTTAATCTACCCCTCAGGATCATCCTATCCAGAATTTATCAGAAGTTTGCATTTCTGGGCCATTTAGCCCAGCCTCATCTCTGGGACCAGTAGCTCCTTCTTTACCCATGAAAGGTTACATGTGATATAGTCACCTTCTTCTTAGCCTGTGGTACACTGTGTGTATCATCCACACCAACATAATCATGGAAGTATGGATCTGTCATCCTGTTCAGACCTGTTCACCAATGGCTTTACATCTCCATGACTAAGCCAAATTGGAACTCCACAGAGAAATTAAGCAAAGTTATAGAAGAAAAAGGAAAGTTGCATTTCTTACACAGCTGAATTTGGGGTCCATGTGTACTCATACATTCACTATCTGTCATCTTTACAAAGACACTGTAAAGTCATTTTTTATTATCGCTGTCGTAGTATATGATTTCAGAGCGGAAATGGCTTTAAGAATTATAAGGTTAGAGTAGTGGTGATAATCACAGAATTCATTCATCTAGCACTTGATATACATATGACGTTATGATATACATACGACACTATGATACACATGCTATTATAATCCTCATTTTACAGATGGGGAAACCGAGGGATAAAAAGTTAAGCAATATGTTAAAGGACACTGAACTGAGAAATAAGGACCTGACTTTGAATTTTTGTATAAAGATAGCAGTCACCTCTGTAGGCCGAGATTTCTTCTTGGTGCTCTCTGTGTGTGGTAAGAAATTCTCATGTGCTATATACCCATATGTTTTCTCTGGTACTCATGTATCTTACCCCCATTAGGCAGCGAGGCCTTCTGCAAAGCTTCAGAGAAGGGAAAACCAGTGAGACAAAGATAACAGAGGAGTCATATTTTTGGCTTCTATGTTCCAAATCCCAGGTTCTGGTCATAAACCAAAGATTTGAAAGATTAGATGAGAAGCTGGAAACTGTTTTCTCCAGATCAGACAAGACTCTTCAATTTGAGAAAAAATAGAGCCAAAGAAGCCAAGAAACCTAGCATAATGGCAAAGTCCCCTGAAAGAAGTCCTGAGCTATTAGCACCTGCCTTATAGCCAAGCTATCCCAGGTGGGGACCACAGGAAATATCAGAGAGCCAGAAAAGTGGGGAATCAGATGGGTCCTGCGTCCCCCAGGGGTTTAGATGAGGACATCCTAACTGGACAAAAGATTATATCTCCGTGACTAAGCCAAATTGGAACTCCACAGAGAAATTAAGTAAAGTTATAGAAAAATAAGGAAAGTTGCATTTCTTACACAACTGAATTTGGGGTCCACGTGTACTCACACATTCACTACCTGTCGTCTGTAGAGTCATTTTTTTTTATTATCCCTATGTCATAGTGTTTGACTATACAGGGGAAAAATTATTTGCCCAGGGGATACAGCTAGTAAGGAGAAGAAAAAGTACCTCAGGAGACAAGTGGAAAATAAACAAAGAAGAAAAAAAGAAAAGGAGGAGGAGGAGGAAGAGATAAAGTGTATAAGGCACAGCCCCAGAGTCACAGTCACCCGCATGGGGAGCATTATTCTTCATCCTCCAATAAAAGTGAGCATTTTGTCAGTTGATACTTACATTTTATTTGGTGGAACAGTCATTTTCTTGACCTCTTTTTTCCTGAAGCTCTTGCTTGGGACTGGACATTGTGAAAATGTAGTCAGGCTCCACCAAGGAGTTATTCAACTGTGTGGTTGGGGATTTAAAAAAAAAATGCATGTGAATCAGAGTTATATCATGGAAATTATGCTTTGTGACAAATATGTTATGAATGGCTGCTCATAAAACCATGCCAGTATGTATGCTATCACAGCATTCAATTATTTTAACCTGCTGTGAACTTGCTTGTGATAAATCATGGGAAAACCAAAGAGAACTATCTTTAGTCACCGCACCGTTTCACTGGCTCGAGTCATTCACGGCTCTAAAAATACAATTTATATCATCGGATTCCTGAAATTCTTTCAGTGCTTACATTCTGATTTAAGTGGCATTAGAGCTAGGGTGATTAAGCTGAGAAGTCCAAGGCTACTGACCAATGTCCCTGCGGGTATTAGCTGTCTATCAGATTGAGTATGTTGTTTATCAGGCTCACAGCACCAGGGCAATTAGCAAGTCGCTGAGGAGCTGGGAAAAGGCTTGGGATTCTCTCTCCGCCTGAAAAAGAATCTTGCAATGGCAATGCTCAGGACACTTTGGGTGGGACACTGATCTAGCGTGGGATAGTCCTATTGTTTAATGCCAAATTCAGAACATTTTTGGAAGTGATGGGGGGGGGGACTATTAATAAGTCTGCCAGGAGTCAGGCACACACTAAGACTGTTGTGTTTAAACAGAAGGATTCTAATCACGGTGTGATAATGGGGAATGAGGCTGAATCTCCTCTATGCTAAAGGGCCATTTCCTGACTCCCCTTCTCCATGAACCACCTAGAAGAAGAAATGGGTCCTTTGGCTACTTTACCTGCTGGACCTGAGAATCTCCATATTTCTGGGGACACCTGAGCTGCTGCTGTTCATATAAATTGTTGTATATATACTTGGGTATCAGCAAAGAGAGCACTGGGTCAGGATTGACTGTGTTGTTTTTATAAATGTAGGGTGTGGGAGATTTGGCACATGAAGTCATAGAGGTACAGCATGCTAGTGAGAAAAAATGCCTCACTGGAAAAGAGAACCTGTGGACCCTGAATCAATCATGGTGGACAGTATCAGCCTCAACTTCTCAGCCTCAACTTCCTCCACTTATAAAATGAGGCAGCTGTATTAATTCTGAGATTCTCAACTTCAGGCAGTGAATTAGAATCACCTGGAGGACATTCCAATATCGTTGCCCCCGCCAAAAATATGCTACCTGATTAGCCTTGGGTGAGGCTCCCCTGGTGACTTTATGTGCAGTTTGGCTGAGAGCTGTTAGATGGGAGGTTTCTGGAGTCCCCACCAGGCTCCATGCAGTAGCCTCTGTGACGGTGTGAGCATCGGGGAAAATGGAAATGGAAGGTGCATGAGCAGCCTAACCATTCACAATGGCCATTTACAATTGGGATTATTGGGATACACATTTCCTAGTATGGTCTGTGGATATTTTCTACTGGGGGGAGAGGGTGGCAAACCAGTAGTAATTTCTTCCTAAAGAGTACAGAGCATATGGCCTAAGGTAGGGAAAGAGTTTTAGTAAATCTTCAGCATGTGTTTGCATAGTTAATGGCCTTAATGTTATGATGTGATTTTGGGTGTAAATATAAAGCTCCCCCTGGAGTTCCAGTTCGATGCCCTGAATTGACCTGGGTCAGATTTTTGAAGGGAACAGGGGTCTTTCTGGATCAAACATTTATTCCGCCATTGATACACTTCTCCATGCCTGGGGATCCTGCCTGTGACATAAATACTTGAGAAACAATTATGGATATAAAAATACTATTAATGAGAAAAACCCTCCTCACCAGCTGTGCTCCATGGATTTCTGGATTTGATTACCAGCTTCTTGATGCTTGACAATTTGACTGGTATTTAATGCTTTCTCATTTTTCCTGATAGGGACCACTAAGCACGTTGTGTTCTCTCTCCCAGTTGGCAACTCAACAAAGGCCAGCCATAAAAACCTCCACTTGTGTAATAAACTGTTGTACAATCTACTGCTTATGAACAAGGTCCCTGAAAATGTGCAACCTTTCTGCACATTAAACACAAAACAGATGGAGCTTTGAAAATAACTTTCTTCTTCAGGGGAGGAGTAAGTCAAAGAAGGGAAAGCAAAACTCATAGAGTCCTAACTGACGAACCAGAGGCTGAACAGCCTGTTCCAGGTTGGGAGGGGCAACCGTGTTCTGTCAAGGATGCTCTATACCTTGGGGGTGCTCTGAGGAAAGGGATGATGTATGCAGTAATGGGAAGTGAAGCCAGTTGATCCATTTTCTAGCCAGGTAAGCCAGGCAAGTCATGAATTCCTTTGCACTTATTTTTTAAACCTCATGTGCAAATGATGTCAATTTGGAACCCTAGTGCCCAAGCATTCCAGAGAAAAAGAGTTGCTGGAAATATAAATACTCATTTGGGTGTTACTATTGGTCCCCATTTGCTTTTATTTAATTGTTAGTTTTATATATGTTAAAAAAGCAAATATATATAATTCTTAAATGGAAGAAATGATGGATATGAAAATTTTAAAACAGTGTGTATATATATGCATACATATCTACATACACACACATATAGATATATAACATGCATGATGTACTAATCTATGTCTATATTTTTAAAGAGAAAGAGAATTTTTTAATATTTATTTTTAGTTTTCCGTGGACACAACATCTTTATTTTATTTTTATGTGGTGCTGAGGATCGAACCCAGCGCCCTGCACATGCCAGGTGAGCGCGCTACCACTTGAGCCACATCCCCAGCCCCAATGTCTATTTTTTTATATCCTGCCATATTTGGGGGGAATTTGCGGTATTTTATAAGGACACACATTTTTTTATATACTGCTTAAAGTATAATTCTATTTGTGGAAGGACTAGTTTTGGTTATTAAATGAAACTGACTACTCCATCTCAGAGTAGTAAAATAACCACTTTCCACTTATTTTCTGCTCTCAGAAAGAAGTCCGTATGTCACCCTATTGGTAAAGTGGGGTCCAAATGGTAGGCATTAGCTGTTTTATAAACTGTAATGATATCCACGGAAGATTTTTCCTCCCATGATTATGGAAAGCAAAGGAGGCATTTTCTAAAGGAATAAGATGTTCAAGATTTGGGGGTAAGGGTGAACTTTTAACTGGTTTTTATTAGACAGGAAACAGAAAAATAGAAAATACACTAGGAATTTCCAACAGGTAGGATTTAATACAGGAATTGATTGCTGAGATAGGAAGTGGCTGCCACCCTAAGCTGATGCCATGAAAGAAAAGAGATGTGAGCGTCTGAGGAACTGATGCTTACATCTCTGAGGAAGGGGACAGCTGCTGCTGATGCCCACTCAAGCCCGTGAAGGTTCTGGAAATGCTGGCAAAAGGTGGGCAGCTACAGCAAGAGGAGCACAGACTTGGAACAGCAGGAGTCCATTTCTCTCTAGCACCACCTATTGGCAAGGACAGGCTGAGGAGGATGGGTTGGGAGCCAAAAGACAAGAGGGGATAATGGGCACATGGAGCCAGGTGTTATCTGGAGACTCCAATGAGTAGAAAGGTGGGAAAAAACCACAAAAAAATAACCAGGACAGGAAGAAAAGAACTGAGCTCTGTGACCAGATTCCTCTAGAAGCAAGTAAAAAAACCAGGCAAGAAGCCAGACTGAATGTTACAGAAAAACAGATCACGTCAATGCCCAAAGAGACCTCCTTCTCGTCTGACTTTTCAGCAATTGTTCAGCTAGTGGGAGAGAAGTAGCAAAAATAACAGAGCTACTAAGTGGTAGTGATTTGTCTATAACTCATATATCTACCCAAGAGTTCAAGCGTTTTTTCCTCTGTTGTACTTTCAGCCAGCCAGAGCACCCTAGCCAGGATCTGTACTGTATATATGTATTTAACACTGGCTATTTTTTTCCCCAAAGTATATTAATTTATTTAATCCTCCCATAATCCAGTAGGGTAAAACAGAACCGTTTTTGTTTATCTTCATTTTATGGATGGGGTACAATCATGTGGCGTGAATGACAAGGTCACCTCCTAATTACCCACAAAGGCAAGATTGACACCTAGGTCTCCTGACTTCTAAGCCCATTGCTCTTTTTTACCATGACATGAAAAAAAAAATCTAAGAGTTTTTTGGTTTTAATCACATCTTTGGCAACCTTTTCAAACATGAAAATAAACTGCGCATACTATATTATAGGAGTCCCTGCCCACATTTCTGCGATTTCATTTTCTACAGTGTTGGTCGCCTGAAATCAACTACAGTCCAAAAATATTACATGGAAAATTCCAGAAAGAAACAATTCATAAATTTTAAATGACATCCCATCCTGAGTAAGCATGATGACATTTCATGCCATCTGGCTCTTCCCTGCCCTGGTCATTTTATTCAGTGTATCCATACTGTATATGTTACCTACCTGTTACTTAGTAGCCTTCTTATTATCAGATGGATTGTTACAGTATTGTGAGAGAGAGAAGGAAAGAGACCACATTCACCTATCTTTTATTACAGTATTTTAGTATGGTTGTCTTACTTTTATTATTATTAACCTGTTACATTATCTCATTTGTAAATTAATATTTATCATGGATAAATATTATGTATTGGAACAAAACAACAGGTACAGGGCTTGGGATTCTCTGATGTTTTAGACATCCACTGAATGTCTTGGAACATATACCTTGTGTAAAAGGAACAACATCTATACAAATAGATTTAACTGAGAAAACTCTGTTATGGCCAGTCCCTGGGTAAGTGTTTGTGTACTACTCTGAGTCTACTTAGCTAATAGAGGAAATTTCCCCTATGCAGAGAGTAATTTTTTTTCTATGGAAAAAAAAAAGATGAAGTTGCATTTTAGCTGAGGTGCAAGGTATCAAGTCAACAAAATCTCATATAAAAAATTGTCTTAGAAAAATCTATTTAACGTCCTATAAAATACTAAGAAATCCTCAGTAATGAGTTTGTAAAAAGACCAACACTGCGGGTTTCCCCCAGGATTGGGACAGACCTCTGTTTCTTTTCTTGAACCCCCTGATGACATGAGTTGCCTAC